CGCCATGGTACCGTGCGCGTACTTGAGCAGGAGTTGCGCGCCGCAAGTAGCGCACTGGCCCTGGGACAAGGCGATATGGCGTCGTGCGCGGCAATACGTTGGTCGGGACCTTAGGGTACCCCTAGGCTTAAAAGGGTGGGCCCTGGGGCGCCTGCGGCTTAAACGGCTTAACGGGGGCCTAGGCCCGCTTTAAGGCTGCCTGGGCCGCCGATTCCTTAAACGGCCTTAAACGCTTAAACGGTGCGGGAGAGCTCCCGAGGTCGATGGTCCGGGAGGCTCCCGGTAGACGCCGGAGGCCGGGAAGCTGCTACAGTCAGCTAGCACGCGTCCCCTATGCGAGTATGGCTCCTGCCAGTGCACCAGACTTACAGATGTGTCTTCAGAGGCGGGTTTTTGTGCCTAATAACGGCAGTATTGGAGAAAACGGCGCGGAACCCAGCGACGGATGCCGGCGAGGCCGATTTTCTTAAACGGTCTTAAAAGAGGGACCCCCGTGCCTCCTCATTTCTTAAATGGCAATCTAAGCCTCCAAACCTCCTCATTTCTTAAAAGCCCTTAAAAGGGCGGCCCTCAGAACCCTAGGGGTACCATAAGGTCGGGACGCGTCCAGGCATTTTTCGGGTAAACCTGGACTTTTGCAGGTATACCCGGGTTTTGCCCGGAGTTGGCCTTGTGTCGTCTAAGTTCATGGCCCCCGACCATACAGCGTCTAAGTCCGAGCCCGGCTCCGTGCGGGGGCTAAGTTGAGCGCTCGCTCGCTGCAGAGGCTAAGTGTAGAGCGACCCTCTAGCCCTACTACCCAACCATTATACGGCCGCAGCTCGTGTGCATGCCATGCCGCCGTCATAGCGGATTCCGACCAGCGCTCTACGCTCGTCGGTGACAGTGTCCCCCAATCTGTCGCGCTCGACGAACCTCGACAGCGCCTTCGGTGGCATGCAGCTCTTTGCGACAGAAGCCAAACAACACAAAACCGGGAACGTTGGCTATTGGGATTCGCATTCGGGACGGCGGCTATTTTGTGGCCGGAGGACGCGACGGCTTCTCTAACCAACCCCTTGCGCTCGAAGATCACACACAAGGGGCTCTCACAGCAGACTCTGTGAGAGAAGGTTCACGGGGCCGACCAGTGTATAAAGCGGAGAGGAGTGGCGTGTGAATCGTTCGTGGATGGTTGATCGTGCGCGGTGCGACCGCCTTTTGTTGTGAAAATCTAGAAAACGTCCCGTTCCTGGTGTCGTGCCAGAGAGTTTTCGGGGTCGCCTTGCTCGTGTCGGGGTGGGGCGGGGTTGTGGGGTGGGGATGTTGGGGTGGGGTGGGCGGGCGCCGGAGTGGGAGTCGTGCGACTGCTCCTTCCTGT